AATCCTCAGACCCCTAAACCCGATAAACCCTAATCCCCAAAACCCTGCATCGTAGGTTCGTCCTAGCCAGGCGGGAGGGAAAAAAGCCCTGAACCCTCAAAAAACCTTGTGTGAAGCCTTGAGTTCAGGATCTGCCTATACATCCTCCAGCTGTTTGACAAAGACAGGAAATTCGCACCTCTAGATCAGCCTGAATTTGCGTCGCTGTTCTACCAGCTTGCTTTCTACTGCTCCGGGACCATCGATAACCTGCTCCGTGGCCTTGAACAGTCCCTAACCCCCCAGGTACCTACTATATAGGGCCCCAGGGGCTCTAGTACCCTATGTAGTAGGTACCTGGAGGGTTAGGGAGTCACAAGCTGCGGTTGAGATAGTGCAGTGGGATGTTCCCGGCCTGGCTAGGGGAAGATGCCGCACTATATCTTTGTTTGCAAGAGGAACTGTGACGGTTTGAAGCTAAGTTAAGGGTCGAGGGTTAAGGCTTTGGGTTTTTCATCATGGGTTGAGACAACTCAGTAGCATGTTCCTGCCATTCCTTGTGGGCACATCAGAGCAATGCAGCCGAAGATTGATCTTTCACGGCCAACTCAAAAGATCAGCATCATATAGTAAACTTGTATGGTGGCCCTTGTTTGTTTTAGTCCTTGCAGAAACCCCTAAAGTAACCCCTAAACGCCCAGTTGCCCTCCAACTCCGAAGCCTGAACAAGCCCAAGCCAGAAGACCACGGAGCAAGACAGCTCAAACCCCAAACACCCCCAAAGCCTAAGTGCTGCCATTTTCGAAACCCTGAAGTCCTACAAACCCACCTTCCAATCCTTGACGAAGGACGGCCACATCTTCGCCCATCCAGATGGTCCTCGAATGCAAAACCCCTGGCGATGAGGAGAAGGCAGTTGAGCTGAACCACCAGGCCTGCAAAGCAGATCGGTTTAGGGTGGCCTACAGGGTACGGTGTGCCTTGCTGTCCTCGTTCCTTTTGCTATCGTTCGCAACACTATAGACGGAGCTACTGCCTGTGGTGCGGTAGTATGAGTTTGACACAGATCGCTGTTCTTGCTCCCGATGACGGCATGATACTATTGCCTTCGTATCTTCATCCTGCTGCTGATGTTTCAAATCCTGCATTGCCCAAGCAGCCTGAACCACAGGAGGCATGTGGCATCTTTCGGAGAATGACACCCAACCTTTATCACACCCCTCGAAAACCTTTAACCGTTTCAGACTTGATAGCAGTGCAGGATATCGTCCCTCAGCCCGAACTTTGAAGCAACCAGACGCAACGCTTTGGGGTTCTAGCGCTGTGGGGTTTTGGAGTTTTAGGGTTTGGGGTTTAGTCATTGGGGTTTAGGGCTTAGGGTTTCGAGTCTCTGGGCTCGGGTTCCGGAGTTGTCAAGGCTTCTCTATAGGAACTTCAGATTGCGGGATTTGCGGGGTCGGTCCGCCAACGGCTCGATCGAATTCGGGGTGCGGCAATTTTTCGGTTGATCCTGCAGGGATTGAGCTTTGGGCACGGGTTACATCCTGAGACCGACGGCCCGCTGCTTGAGCCAGTCATCACCACATCGGCCAGTACGCCCACATCCTCCAATGCGAATGGTCTTAATGGCGAGATGCAGGGGGGGATAAACTCTAAACCCTCAACCCCTAAACCCCAATAAGCTCCGAATTTCTCGAAGCTCTTGAAATTTGGGGGTTCTGGTAGGCTTGGATCCAGCAATGTGGACCCATTCTACTCTCCCTCCTTGGCGACAAAAAGTTCATGTTCGGCCAGGACGCGGTATGTTTGTCCTGGGGATGTTCAGCACAAGATTCATTAAAAGCGACTCAGGTTGAAGGCACATCCCGTCATAGTCCGGCAGTCCAGGTTCAGCAAGGCAATTTAACGTCATGACGTCTTGAGGACAACTGACGGGACAGGACCGGCTAGAGCCAAAAGTTGGAAGCGTGACTTACAAGTAACGGTGATTCCGGTTTCATGTAAGAACTGGGTCGAAGATTCGATTCGAATTCTACATCACGAAAGTAAGAGCACTCGGAGTAGGGGGAGGGAGCGGTTCTTCATCAGGGTGCTACATTACAGCACCTCCAACTTTGAGTGCCAAACATCGTTTGACCTCGGCATTTCGACAAGAGGATCAGATCGACTGTTGGGGCCAAGGGATTCGCACTCCCGTTGTTCGAGTTTTTTTGTCCGAGCATAGAGCCCTCTAACCTGAGTTTAAACCTGAGCCCTAAGCAACAAACCTACACTAAACCCTAACACTTGAACCCTCAGAAGCCTAACAATGTCGAACAACCCCTAAACAGGGCTCTGATTAAGGTGTACCGTAGTTGCTGGGCCCTGCTACCGTGGAAGATATACAGTACCGGTTTTCGGATTCAGGTTTTTGGTTTCAGAGTTCAGAGTTCGATGCGGTTTAGGGTTTGGGGGTTTAGGGCTTTGGGGTTAAAGGGTTTAGGGGTTTAGGGTTTAGGTTTTATATATAGGGTGGTTTCAGAGTTCGATGCCAAAGAAACGAACATCTACGCGAACGTTCTTTGGGTGGCTGGCAGTATATACTTGTTTGGATGGTGCAATGATGAGATGTAAGAACTGAGTATGGTTATATACTTTACCGTGACTGGCAAAGCTCCAACCCGGCAAAGAAGCCTAGTAGAGGGGCCTTAATAATTACCTCTACTATTTTTTGGGGGGGTTCCTTATTATTAAAATTGTTATTATTAGAACAATAGTATAATATACCCCCAAACCCTTTTCTTATTATTAAGAACTAGTCTCAAGATCTGAAACCTTGGATCGCCCATGAAGGGAAATCTGACTCCAGGACTTCTCGGCAGCGGATGTCGTCGTGGGTGTGAACATGCCACTCAGATATCTGATGCCTTTAGGGTTTAGGGTTTAGGGTTACAGCCCTGCTGAATCCACAAAGCCGATGCCCTGAAGCCCAGACCAGAACCCTGCAAAATTGAGGCTCCCTTCAAGTAAAGAGTCTAGGGTTCAGCGTCTCAGCGATAACGGTGCCCGAAAGCTCACACATGAGGCTCTCCCTGTAGAAGAGTTGCTTCCACTGAGTGACCGAGCTCTATTTCCAGATCCGAATCCTGCCGAACGCAGACCCCGATTGGTACTGTGGATGGACAAAAAATTCTGCATAACCCAAATATAATTTAAAAAAAAAGCCATAAATCCCATAGTTCAGGTATATAAGGTCATGCAGGATTTTGTCCATCAACCGTAGGACCCTGTGTTTTTGAGCCCTGTCCGGCTGTTAGAACCCCACCCACCTTTTGTGATAGCCCAAACACTAATTATACTTGCCGAATACAGGGTTTAGGATTCAGGGTTTAGGGTTTAGGGTTTAGGTTAAGTGCGCTGCAGCCCCTGCTCAAAAAAAGGATTCAGGGTTTCGGCTTTGGGGTATGATTTGGTGTAATAATATAGTACAGTCGAGCACCATATACTGCAATTATCATGCAATGTGACCCAGGCATTACATCCATGTGAAGCGCGGCTGGCACGACTTCCCAGCTTTGGAGGCAGCCGTGCCCAAGACCTCTAAATGGTTCTAAGTGTGGCATCTGTTTGGTTTCCGTATTTTCGCATTGAACATATACCAGGCTTTCCCACAAGGGGCATCGCAATACAGCATCGAGGCAGGATGTATAGTATAGATCAAGCGGTGGCGTAAGGGGCGACATGATTTCAAACTGAGGCCCCTGCGAGATCCGCATAACTCTTACAAGACGGACCCCAAAAGAGGCTACGTTAGAGACAGAAGATTTTTGAAACTGCCCTTCGCTCATGATTGACTGAGATCCCAATTCCGAAACCTTGCAGTTTTTGAAATCATCGTATACCCAAATCCTTGTTCCAAAGCCCGCATACCGAAACCGAAGCACCAAGGAACCCTCAGACCCAAATTAGATCATCCAATGGGATCCGTATCAGAAAGACTCCGAAAATAGACCGGATATTCTCTCTTCATACAGCCACCTTTCGGAGGCCTACTTTGAGCGATGCAAAGAGCGCCCGGGCTACCAGAAAGCCTTTACCGACCGACCGCTCTCCTGAGATGGGATCTGACGCGCAGGAGTTGGGGTAAGGTTGGGTGGTGAGCGTAAATCGAAGCCATGAAAAGCCCTTACGAATTATTTATCATTGTTTGACAGGGCAAGAAACCTCAAAAACACCCCCCCAACAGACCCACACACATAGTGTACCGACAGAAACCGAACCAGAACAGAGTTCCGGGTGCTGTCCCTGCGGGTACAGTAAGGCTTGCAGATTACAGTTTAGGGAGGCCGGCCTCAAGCCTAAAAGGCATGGGGCTTGGATAGGGAATTTAGGGTTTAGGGTTATAGGGTTTAGGGTTTAGCGATTTATCATCAGCACGTCTTTTGTGGCTGCTTGCAGTCAGTCGGCCCAGAAGCTGTGTTTCAAAAGGGCCAACCGGATGCATTGGAACATGGGCCATCCCCGGAAGCCGCGGAACTTGTGCATAGCACTTGCGAGCAGGGTTTCAGGGTTCAGGACCCCAATCTCCAAACCCAAACACCCCTAGACCCTAAACCCGAATTAGGGGTTACAGAGAAGTCTTTTGGAGCGTGCCTAGGCTCAGCTTACTTTCCTAGCTGCCGATTGGCCCCTTTGGATGTGACTTGCACACACAGCGGGCGTGGACAAAAGCTGGGACGCAACTTCAAGAATCAAGGAGACCCTAACGAAAGAACTGTTAAGATGTTTGCGGCCCTACACCCCCAAACCGTCATCGACTACTGCTGCCACAACTACTACTAC